GAGGAAGGGGTAGGAGAAGGAAGAGCAGGGCACAAATGAAATTTAATAAAATTTCAAGCTCGCTGGTCGGACCGTACACAGAGAGCTGCCGGATCCGTTGGCGGTCACCATGGAGACGCAGCTTCACCAGCTTCCCGCTCCCCGTGACGTCACTGCTCCATCGATCTGCAACCCCTCTATGGATATCGCCACCACTATAGTCGCTAAACCACCACCACCACCGATACCCATCACCAACACCGACGACACGAGCCCGATCTTCTCTCTGTACCATTTTCGTTAGTGTGAGCACCCTCTTTACACCCTTACAACCACAAAGCCCTGTGACCGCGTAATTGTACGTACAGACGAGGGTGCACGCACCAGGGTGAGCGAGTGGACGTGCACGTAAACGAGCGGTTGCGAGCGGGATACTCACGTAGCCAGCCAGTGTAGTACGCATGGGGAAAGTGAGTAACCTTGCTGGCTGGCTGGTGTACACCTTTCGCGTCTACCTTCGTTCCGGCGGCCAGGTGAGGGTGGAGTCGCAAAGATGAACGCGCCACGAACAGGAGCAACGAACGAGTATCAACCGTAGGAAAGAGAGAACAGACCCTCTTATATTTCTGCGATTCGTCCGGTGCACCCTTCGCCGGATCACATTATCGATCGATGGATGGGCGCGAAAGGGGCAAAGGGCTCCCAACGAACCCCTCCTTCTCCTTCCTCTCCCTGGACCCCATCTCCCGTTCGCTTCCTCTTTTTCTATACTTCCTACATATATGGATATCATCGATAACTTTTACTCTTCTCTACATTTCCTCGTTCATCGAGCCGAAATTTAGATTGTCGATTAATTTTCATCCCCTTTTATCGCGATATTTTTATTCCGGTAACGTTACAGGGTTGTGTACCTTTTTCTATAATAAATATAAACACGAGTTTAGAGAATTTTTAAGTCAACTCTCGATTATACTCTATACAGAAATTGTCTGTGGGGGAATCGCAGTTTGAAATAAAATTCTCACAATTATTTCAGCTACTGAATCTGTCCCTCGTACGAATGTAACAATCTACCCTGACACGTGTTAACGAGGAACGAACAATTTCTGCAGATGGACAAGATTATTTCTGTCGGTGGGGAAAGAAAAACTACGTGTCGAAGACCCCGGAAGGAACGGTTCTACGTGTACGCCGCTCGAAAAAGGATGATTCGCGTACGCCCACGTAGAACGATAGAAAAGCTTCATCCGCGTCTACGGATACGAGGACACGAAGAGAAACCGGGCGTTCGTTTAACACCTATAGATCGACCTGGTGAGGGCAGAGAGGTAGGAAGAGAGTGGGAGGAAACGGGGGTTTTCAGAACGATAAGAGAGACGGAGAGGCACAGAGGAACGTTTCGGTACGGGGGTGGTTTTCGGTGCGAGGGGTTGGTCGGACCGGTGGAAAGTCCTGAGGGATGAGGGAGGAGGTTGCCAAGGCAACGCTCTGCCAGCCTCGGCTTACTTTAGCTCTGCTCGTGCACTCGGATCAATACAGCATCACCGTGAGTTCCCGGACCAAACACACCCCCTCGACACCCGCTCACACCCCCCTCCATTGCCAACCTACCCTTCTTCCATCTCCATCTCTATCCTCCGTTGCTTCGTTTCATCCGCTACCCTCCGGCTATTTTCCTCTTTGTTTCATCCTCACCCCCCCCCGTTCCTCTTCGTTCAACCAGCTTATTCCCTCTCTATCCCTTCTGTTTGCTGAACCTATACCCTTCTCCCTTCTATCGGAGCTTCTGATTTTTCTTCTCTCTTTCTGGTGGCCAGGTTGCCTCTGTCCGGCACCGGCTCCCGGTGCGGTGATCGCAAAAATTATCGCGCCGTTTTCGGTGGGTCATCCTCGAAAACAATCGCGAACCCGCTGCACGACGAGACGCGGTTAATTACGGATTTAGCGACTGGGAAAAAAACAGCTCTAGCCTGGATAATTCCTCTCGTACCCGTCGGATAATCGATTGCAATCGTTTTGGATGGAACGTGTACACTACAGGACATATACGCTCTCTTCAGAATAAACGTACACACAAAAACTTTGCGTTCAAACTATATTACCGGAAATATTCATTTTTTAAAGAAGGAAGGAATATTCTAATTTATATTTTTTTAATTATAAAGACAGCTAATCAGTCACTATACTCACCCCCCTTCGATGCGCAAATTCTACAATTTTCTACTTCTATAAAATAATTACTTGTTCACTTACTTGTATACATTTGTATCTTACAAGTAATCCTCTACTCGTGACTCTGCCGTTGCGTTCTCGGGAATCATGGGGTTGGAATACAAGGATATAATTGCGGGGATTGTTATGTAAGCCCTTGGTATCGGTTGTTCATTCCATCAACGATTAACTGAAAAGAAGAAGTTTCAATGAAAGTTTCAAGAGAATTCGTAAATTGTTTTTTCCCCTGTTTAAACAGGAACTGAGTTTTTAATTTCGGTGAATTATTCTTGTCCTTACCAGGGTGTATTTACACGTACATCGCGTTAATTTTATAAATTACCTGGAGCTCAATTAACTAATGATCAATCAACGCAAATTTAACGAGCAAACATGATGGATTTTAATTATTACGTTACTGGAAGGGTGATCTTGTTGTTACATTGGAATCAATAGAGAATTTGCTTTCTATCGAGTTTTGAAACGTAAGATAAGATAAATATACCGTCTGCCGCGTTTTTTTGGCCCGCACGAAATTCGAGAGACTCTTTCCATCGAACGGGTCGTTTACGACGACCAAGGGTGCTCGACCCAGAAATGATTCTGTATTTATTTTACCGCGATTTAGGAAACTTGCCACGTGCAATTTATCGGGTGCAATCGTCTGTCAAAAATTTATATCTTTCCGCGAAAATATACGGAGTGCAAATACGAAGAAGTTCCGTGTGTGTCCACGTCAGTATGTGTACCTCGCTTCGAATTATCGTAAAAAAGCAAGATATCCTGCTATAATTCGGTGAATTTAAAAAGAACGGTAAAAACCTCTTGACGGAGAAGGGTGGTTCGATGTGGGGTGCGACTCCCGCGAGCTCCTTAAACAATTCCAGACTGGCTATATACGCGTTACAGCCCCCGTTTCTGTGCCAAAGATTTGGCCACCTCTGTAGGGGCTGAGAGACTGCAACATTATGCCAGATTGCGTACAGTAAACACTCCCAGTAACAGTAGAACTACCCTAGTAAGGCAAACCTCTATTTCTAAAATAGATAACTCCTATTCTAAAATATTTTTCTTATACCGTCAGATCGCCGCCTTAATTTAATATCATTTAAGTTATTAAAATTAACATCATTGTCCATGCATCGTGTTCACGAACCGTGGACAAAGCTTGAAAAATATTCTTGAAATCTCATTCGTACAAAATATTTCCTGGATCCACGGATCTGTTTTGCATATGGTTGGAAGCCAAGTACGATGTCGCTGGATCGTCTCGACACTTTGGAATTCTGGTTACATTCGCGCAACAAATTTCATTTTTCCCTGACACAGACAAGTGTGTTAGGTAGATAGCTTTTCTGAAGCGCAATATTCTCTCCCGCATAAATCTGTTTTAATTTTCTGCATAAAACAATGTTGCCGGAGAAAGGTGTTTCAAGGAATCGAGTGTTCCATTCGGAGAATCGGATAAAGTGGAAATAAATAGAAAGGAACAAGATAATTTTCAAAAAAATTCAACCCCTGTTAAAAATCCAGGTAGAACTGACAAAGGTCCTCGCTTCTGGTGGTTGTACACGTTTCGTCGGATATTAATTAAAACGAAAACGAGCAGAAAAAAACGCGAGAAGAACAAAAATATTTTCGGCGGGATGAAAAATTTGCTCATTGTCCCGGGCAAAGGCGGGCCGAACCGCGCGGATACAGAGTTTTCGTCGAACGTGTTCGTGGCGAATGACAACCCTCCGTGTCGTGTACACGACAGATGCAACGAACAATATGGGCTCGACGTGTGCGCGTAGTCGGGTTTTGATTTCGGCGTCATTATGCCCACGGTCAGATATATAACGCACCGCGTTACGACGTGTCAGCCGTCGATCCGTCGTTATTTCCTACTCCATCGCGAATAAACTCGCTTCGTAAAATTGATCTGCGACGTTACACCACTGAGCATTGCATCCACGGTCCACGTTGCATTTCCATTCCTCAACCCTACCCGTTTTCATGAAATTTTCTGCTACCCTTTTGTTCCTACTCTTCGGTACTCCGCCTCTTTTTTTCCCATCAGCCTCGATGTTCCCGAATTTCACCCTCCCACCCACCCCCTGCTTCGAACGAATTCATGGTTACGTTACGTTTCGCAAATGTTTCATTGTTCTTTCGACCATGGAGAATACATACAGGGTGGCTCGAAAGTGTGACCGTTTTATAATATAAATAGCCAAGTCATTCGTTTCTCGGTCACTTTGTATATTTGATACGAAACTTGTCGTCGCATGGCGAATCAAGTGTCTATTCTTATTAACAAAGGAATTGTGATTTCGATCCGATTTAAAATACCTATTAATAATTACCGAAACGAGAATACCAAAGTCGAACGCTAAAATTAACCCTCAACGTCTGGTGCACGTTCTCCACTGCGCCCCCTGTTAATCGTTTGAAAATCCCCATAAGAAATACTTGTACATCGTTCAACAACCACCTTGACCCACCCTTAACATTCTCAGGATAGAACGCCCCTAAGCTATGCAGTGTACGCATAGAATATTACATGCGAAATCAACAAAAAAAAAATAAAATAAAAAAGACGGGAGAAGAAAAGAAAAATGATGTCGCACCCTTTGAAATCGAACTCCTCTCGATCTTCCTGGGCATCGACCTATCCAGTTGGTAAGAAGCTGACCTCTCGTACCCTGGAACTTTGTCCGATGTTCGCCAGGGTTCGCCAGCCGTTGGTCCAGTCCAGCATCCCCTATTTCAACGCTGGCTCGTCCTGTCGGAAGAAAGCGGAACTACATTTAGGGGTTGCAGACGGCGTGCACCCTGTGCGCAGGGCGTCTGCAAACAACAGACGCGTGCGTGTTCCCTGTAAAAAGTTTCTCGTTTGTGCGTGAAAATATAATAGAGCGATAATAAAATGAACCATAAACAATAACCGAGACGGTTTTAAAGAACCAAAGATTGTTAAATTAAACGTGCACGAGAGATAAACAGCTGGGTCTGCAGATTATTCTTTCGACAGGATAACATGGCTATGATCAGCGACCTTTAAGTTGTAATTACTGGATCAATCTGAAAAAGAGGGAAAAAGGAATCAAAGAGTGACATTATTGGTTCGAAGGAAGATGGCCTGCTACACGTTGGTGCGGAAAAAATTTTGCTGATCCTCGCTGGATGGAGGAGATCCTGCGCCGTGCATGACCGGAAAGGAATTTGTCGGTAAGTGTTGCGGTTACTATTGATTACATTACGCTTGAACGATGATAACCGAACAAACGATGTTTCTATATTTATGAAGTCGAACGGACGATCGGTGGAAGTCCTGGACGGAAGTGAGACGCGTTTCGAAGGGATAGGAGTGTTGTCTGAGAGATGAGATCGTACGACGGGGAGAGCAGCTCGACGGAGGACGACGACAGGAGAGAAGGTCTTCCTGAGGCGCATCTGCAGCAAGGATCCTGGCAACGTTCCGCTTCGCATCCCACATGGGCTTGGGAGCATCGTACCGCTGTGTGTACTGAAAACTGAAAATTACAAGAAATCATTGATCAATATCTCCAATGGCATAAATTTTAATCAAGAAATTTCAATTCGAAGAGATTTTATTTCGCATTGGAAAATTTCTCGTTACAGCATCCGTTACCACCTCAATCGACAGGGTCGTTGGAATCCATGTACTCGGTGCCAGGAGCCTCTCACGCTAGTGTTTCCGCTCCAACAGCTGGCTACTCGTCGGAGCACCCTCAAAGTGCACCTGGAAGGAGAACTCCGTTGGGTGCCGTTGGTCTTGGTGGTTTCTACTTTCAGCAACAACCACAGCCCCACGCTTCGTCCAGTGCTCTGTCGGATGAAAACAGACCAGACTCTGAAAGGTATTTAAATGAGCCTACGAATGCGAAATCGTAATTTTACAATTTGCGAAAATTGAAAATTGCGAAAGTCATATTGAGAATCAGGTTTGACCGTCATAGACCAGGAGCGTCGAGACTGAACTGTCCGTCGAAATCAAAGAGCACTCGTCAAGGGAAGAGCATGCGATTAAACATAAACGCCAGAGAACGTAGAAGAATGCACGATTTAAATGACGCCCTCGACGAACTTCGATCCGTCATTCCGTACGCTCATAGTCCGTCCGTGAGAAAATTGTCCAAGATTGCCACCCTGCTACTGGCGAAGAACTACATTCTCATGCAAGGTAACACGCTCGATAAAAGTCTTTCAAACTATACGGACGAACCTGTGCGACGTTCCCATTCAATTACCCGCTACTGAATTACACACCCCGTACAGGAAACGCCTTGGAGGAACTGAGAAGAGTGATAGCAGTTCTGCAGTCACCGCACGCTCACACAACAGCTCTGCCACCCACACCTGTTTCCTACGATCTCCTGCATGGTTTCCCGGGCAAATTGTTCCAAGGTGTGCAGGACATGCAAGGACTTCCTACGAACGACCCCCAGAACGTCACAGCGGGTGGACCTTCCACCGATGCCACTGTAGCTAGTGGAGAATCAAATTAAGGATTCTAATTTTCCCTTTTCTTTAATGAAGTGAACGAATGGAGAATCAAAGATTACGGGGTTGGTAATTGCATCAGATATTTTTAAAGCTTTTCCATATAGGGGAGGGTTGCTTTAAGAAGGTTACGTGGTATTTGTTTCGAGAATTAATTTCAAAGAATTAATTGAAAAATAACGCATTTAAAATTTGCCTATACTTTAACAAAAATTCTGTTATCGGAATAAGTTAAAAAATATTCAGATGGTCGAAATTTAGAAACCTTCCCCTGCTATATTATCTTCCATAAAACAGAACTTAACGATCTAATGGTAAGTCACTATAGTACGAAAATATATGTAATCTGTAAGTTACAAACCGGAGGCTACTTGTTGAAAGTATTAGCGAAGTAAATAATATTCAAAGGGCGTACGTCTTATATGATACACTGTTACGAGTTCGATAAACGATGAGTCAATATTACTACCTATGTACTTAATATTAATTACGGTTAAACGCTCCTAAGATGAAAGTTTATGAAAGTATTAATAATTAAGGAAGTACTTAAACGATCTACGATTACCAACAGAGCAATAAACGACAGCACATTTCAGTCTCTGGTGAAAGAAATAGAAAAAAGGATTTCTTTCGATTTCTTTTTTATCGTCAGAGAAAGAAATGATGTAAAAGGATGAGGAATAAAATTTCCGAATCCCGTCCTGGAACGCGATAGTCAATATAGCATGTGATACATGTCGAGATATTATATATATATAATTATATTCTAGTCATACACGCGTACAGATCATAAATATTCATATACATATAGATATATATATATTTAATAATTCAAATTGAGCCATCGATTGTAATAACTTATTTATATACATAATACGTTTATTAAGAGTTTATTACAATGTGCCAAGGATATAGCCGATCTCTTTTCTTGTGAGAATAATTGCGAGACGTGTATCCAACGAAGGACGAGGGAGTTTTTAATTAACGAAAACACTGCATGAATCCTCGCCTTTTCGCGGATCACGATTAAACGTCGTAAACATTTAATAATGAGCAATAACGACTATTATTCCTAATGACGTCGGTCGTTAAATAACAATAAAATGTGTGCAGATGGTACGATGACGATGAAAAGAGATAAAAGTGTTTGTTGTAGCGCGTAGTAGATATTACTGTTTAGTACTCGGATGGAAATGTATTCAAGACAACTGCGAATTGAAAGAACGGGTGCTCTGAGAGAAGAAATTTTAATTATTCAATATTCTTAACCCTTTTGATCTTTCAAGAGCAATTAAAATTTTTTGTTTTTACTTTGGCGAGGATAGATTAATTCCCTACTCTCGACTGAAGGAATCATTTTCAAAGGTCATATATTCCAATTAGAGTTGGAATAATTGTAATATAAAAGGTGAAGATTATTAATTATTTATTTACATATAAGAAAATTGCAAAGTGTTTACCCAAACTTGTCACGAGACAATATCATGGTACCAAGGTCAAATGGTTCAAAGAAGCAAGAAATGAGACAGATAACGATATTCTTTCAGGGCATTCCATCATTTCGTCAGACGCATTGAAACGAGTTAATATAAGCAAGAAAGTTTGTCATTTTGTTTTTTAAATACAATAATAACTCGTACTTTTAATATCGATGCGTATTATCGCGCGGAACTCGTCTATTTTTAAGCGAGACGCAAAAGTTTATCGAATATACGAATTTTCGATGTAATTTTATGCGAACACGTCAGAAACGTATAATTCATTTAACACGTTGGCTGCCGTGTGGTCACCTACGGCCTGGGTCTTAAATTTTGTATAATCTAATAAATTAATAAAAGAAAGGAGTAGACAAACCTCGAGGCGCTAGTGTTATATTAATAGCATAACCTTAAATTAGAAAATTAATCAGCCACGTTATTATCGATTAGTGTTTTGATATGTCTTACAATACATAGAAATTTTCACTCTGGCAGTCAATGTGTTAATGAAATATCGTAAATATTTACGTTGAATACGTTCCAACTCTACCGCCATAGTTTATGGAGCAGGTGAAAAGAAAAGGAACGGAAAAAAACGATCGATAGATCGATTGATCATAGTAAAATTAAGGACACGATTGTACGAGACGGTGAATAATACCTTTAATCGGGAAACGATGAGCTGGGTCTGTTTATAATCTCTAAAAGCCAATTATACATTGCGAAAAATAGATAATTGTTATCTGAATCACCCACGCAACCGACTAGTGGTGCCACCATTCGGTCGCGCCATGAAACTTTCGTTCTATCGTATTCAAATAGTCTTTTCATTATCTGGCCAAATAATGTTATTAAATACAAGTAATAATTATCAGAATCACGCGTAAATGAAGACTCATTATTGTCATCGTCGATCCAAACTCTCTGAATCAATCATGATGCTGTTTCAACGAATTTTACCTGATTTTAAACCATCGACTTGTGGCGCCATCACGGCCGTCACTCCGCAAAGTATTCACTTGATCGTCTTCCGTCCTTTTGGGAGGACCTTACACCGTATGTGCCTGATTCGACGGGGTTTATTGTGTGCGTGTCTCGTCGGTGGCTTCAAGATGGCTCGCAGGCTGCTGCTGCTTTTTGGGCTTGTAGTGCTTATAGTGCTTATAGTGTCCCTGTAAACTGTTTCGTGAAAAAGATTCGGTAGATGCCAAGACGACGACGACGTGACTCGGCCGGCTGGTAACTTGGGGTAGTCTCGATATGTGACGATCGCTCAAAAACCGGTAAGTCGTTGCATACCATAATTTTTTATCATCTACTTTGCGATTGTTCACAATTTATTATTGGAAGCTCCGTCTGACTTGTGTATGCGATCGCTACAAAAGGAAAGTTTTCGTGGTTAGGAGAAAGAAACAAAATGGATAGACCGTGACAGAGAGATCACGCTTAGACAGTTACAAGCTTTCTTTTTCCTTAATGCGCGATCGAATACGCAATAAACTTAACAGCAAGAAGGAACGATGGCTTTAAAGTACAATTGTTTTTACGACGAGACGCGTTGATAGGTTATGATGTCATAATAGTGGACAGCTCGCGCAATCTCTTTGTCTTCTACGCTCGATCACGTATTTTTTCACGTTCGTTAATCTTGTCTGTGGTGATATCCACGAAGGAAGTTGAAAGACTAATAATGTATAAGAAAGAAAACTTAATAATGATTTAATGAGATGATGTAGCACGGTTGATCGGGCAATTTTTCATCGTGCGTTTTGGAGTACAGTATCGTCTCTCCTTTTCTTTCTCGTAGCGTCGTAATATTTTCCGTCGCGAGTGGGAGAACTAACCTTACCTCACCGATGGGCGAAAGACGCACGAGACGGGGTCGCTATTGGTAGTCCTTTCCACATACCTGCCACGCAAAAGCTACCTGCATTCTCAGTCAGATCGAGCTTCGAAACTTTTGTCGATATGTCTGTATATTTAAACTTGCTCTTACAGTAGAGGGCACGTTACCTTTCCCTAGGGGAAAGAGCCCTAATCATTCGTCTTCATATTAAAAAATGACTGTGCATTATGTTTAGACCCAATATACGGTTTAACCCTTTCGCAACGATGGGTAATTATTGTCGTTTACTGTGAAATAATCACTGGGTACTATGGGCGACTTTATCTGTAGTCATACAATGGAAAGTGTAAAATTTACGCTTTCCTTAATTAACAGGTAGTATAGAGGAAAGAGTGTCACCACTAGCTGTACTGATTTATGGATTTCTGAATCTCTGTAGATTCTCCCTAAGATTTCTTTGAGTTTTCCTAGAATCACCTTGGATTCTCTTTCGGTTTTTCCTAAGATCTCCCTTGATTTTCCCTAGAATCTCCTTAAGTTTCCCTAGGGTCTCTCTGCATTCTTTTTAGAGCAGAGGCAAGTGGTGGGAGGCTTCTCTTTCCACGCTTACTCTTAATCAAATGTCTACGTTGCATCGGAGTGTACATCCTCCAGAAACGTGTCTCACGAAGGACATGAATTACGAATCATTCGTTGCCAAAAATACCAATGTGAAAACTGCGCATACGAATATAAACGATACCTGAAGCAGCAATTCGAACGTGTCTATATATGTAACACAGATTGTGTATACATCGTTTTCAAAATTTCACCGCGAACCAACTGGAACGATGAGCGCTGTATCTTGTAATACAGTCACTTGAGAACAGACTATTGGCCAGCCTGTGTGCTTGTTTGTCGTTGTCAATTAAGGTCGAAATACCTTGAAACGATTTGATACATTGCCTCGTGATGTTCTTCGACGAAGGATTAACTACACAGATAATATAGACACGCGTTCTTGAGTGGTTGCATAGGAACGGTGTTTGGTAAGGTAAATAATAACAAATACTCGCTAGTACGCGTGCATGACATCGTGACACACTATCTTCACCGCCGACTTCCGGTGCGCTACATTACGCGGTTATTTTCCACAATCACGGTTTACCCTTTAACTTAACATTTCAATTTTCGATTTCACACGTTACAAATGACAGAAGGAGATAAGGAAATAGATAAGTACGTATTTGGTAAACTTTCAAACTCAGCCGTGATATATTATTTCAAGGTGAAACGATTCACCGCCATCTTTTTCTAGGATAACATAATATTTGAGTTAGTGAAAGAATTTCTATATAGCTACTTGAAAACCAGTTCCATGAAAAAGAATGTAGGCTGGACGGTCGAACGCTGAACAAAAGTTTCATCCTTATCGGTTCCGTACTGACCCGAAAAAACGTCGACATAAATGACATGTGACGCGTTTCCGGTGAACTTATCTCAGGTACGCTACGTACCTCGCATAATAGGCACGCGTGACGTGTTATCGACGATCGAAATCAGCGTTGAAGAAGTCAGGATTATTCAGGGATGAAGAACATTATCGTTAGGTATTCGCGATGGAAATATACCTATTGCGTCTTTATATTAGTCACAGTAATGTGTTTATTCGAAGCAATCACGGACCCGAGCCGATTAAACTCGTTTCGCTTTATCGAACCGAATACCCAATTATTCGGCCAGCGCCACTCTTGAAAAACTTTAAACAGATATTTTAAATCGTTCAAATTTCTTTATTTCAATATTCGATCGTTGGTTCTATTTCCTTTTATCTTGTGTGTGTTCGAGTGGTATGGAGTATCAGATGCTTTCCGAACGATGAAATCATTCCAGTGAACGGTCTTTTTTAATTATTGATAGCAGTACGTCGGTAAAAGTGGCTATTCCCGTTGCGCAATAGAAAATAATCTGGAAATAATCTTATAACTGGAAATACTCTGTACATGGTTTTAGTGGCTAAAACTGGTTACGAATAAAATCCCTGCACCTTATCAACCACGAAAACCGAAAGTGACGAGTCGTTTCGTTATCGATATCGCGATGATAGTCCTCGTTGTTTGTGCACGAGCTTTTCGGCAGCCTTCGTTTTCATAGTATACTTGGAAATCTACAGCATTATACTATGTTTGATCATCTTTTGATCAAACGTTCGATAAGAACATTCTAGCGATAAATTGCATGTAGCTCAAGGTGATTAGACGAATGTTCGATCAAAGGTATGTCTGATTTCCGAGTATATTAGATTATCCATATGGAAACAGATAAAACGACTGGTACTGGAAATGTCTGAAACTGTATTAGAAGATTCTGAGTCAACATAGAAACCGTATTCTCTGACACATCAAGAAGAGAACGACCGTGCATGATATCTCGGCATGATGACGAGGTATCTGCCCTTTGCTGATGCATGTGCAGGCATTTTTATTCCATTTCGCAACGGGATTCGTGCAAATTCCATGCTCACTCCCTGTCTTAGCGGATACTCGCGTTACAGTATTCATTTAGAGGAGAATTACAGTAAGCTGAAGTTTTATTTAACTCTCACGAGTCTCTTTATGTTCATTCACCATTTAACAGTAAGAGATTTTTAGAGAATTAGTTTTAATATCGCACGCTTGAAATTTATATAGCACACCCTATAGATTGGTTTCAAAGCCAAGTTCGTTTAGAAATTGAATTTCAGTCTGGTATATTTATCAATAGACAGCGGGTTGAACCGATATATTCTACCACAAAAAAAAGAGCACGGGTACAATTGTAAACGTACGGTAAACCGGAGTTCGTCGCTTTTGTAACTGCGTTCTTCTTTTTTCATCGATAGTTTTGGATTTATTATTTTTCATTAACGAACAGCCAGAGGAGCGGCTGCCGGGTGGGTGGGTGGTTTGGTTGAGAGCATCGAGTGAAAAATGGTGAAATGAGAGAGTTGGGAGAGAAACAGGAGCAAAAGAGAGACGAAAACAAAGCGGACGCAGCCGCCAGGGCAACAATGGCGCATCGACCCGCCAAAACTCGCGGTGACGCACAGAAACCTATGCGTCGATCTTCTCCGACTAAAAAAACCTTCTAATTCGGCCCTAATGTCACTGATTTAATGATTATTTTGGTCGATCACATCGATTTTGTCGAAAAATAGTGTAGATAGAGGTAAATTAGCTTTAAAACTTAAGAAATATTGCCTTTGCGAACGCAGTTGGGCAGATGAATAAAATGGCCGTCCGTTCGCTTGATGCGCAGAAGCATGCGCAGTGAGTCTTACATAAACGACTCTTGACTAACGCGGTAGAGGAAGATTGGGACCATTCGTAGAGTTTCTAGAATTTTATTTATCAGCTGATGTTGAATGCTAGTAAAATAATTATAATATTAATATAAAAATAAAATTAGGAGTTAGTACGTTTATAGACCAAGGTTTTGGTACCCAAAAGTAGATATTTGTACGAGTCCAAATAGACTTAGAATGGCATTAGTGTTACACTAATAAACTTACGTAGTAAACTAAAAGGTTGAATTTTGTAATTTCGAAATGAATTCCGTCAGATAACTTTCCTTACGTTCGGTACGTTGAGACGGTCAATTTGTGCTTGTTACCAACACCTGGATCAGAGGACATAAGAATAGGGGGTCCAAATTGAAGGACCCAATTGGAGGAAGCTGACAGGGTTCCTCCCGTATTTTTCCATTTCTGTTTCAATTCGCGAGCCAAGTGCAGCCTCTTTCAGGAACCGTTTCAGGTATCCGCAAGACTTTTCGTTGCACTTGGTTCCCGTGAACAGGGTAAGACTGAGAGAAGTATGGTCCACGATGGATGAAGATCAGGTGCCGTGGTTGCCAGGGTAACCAGCA